CACTTTATTTATTTGGTGGCAGTTTTTCATTTTCTTTTTGTTTTTTTTCAATATTTTGTTTTGTATGTTTATTTATATATACTGTATATATTTTTGTTTGATTTAATTTGATTTTATTTGACGGTTGAGAGCGCTGTTTTTGGTATTCCCATTTATTTCACACACTGTTTTTGATTTTGGCTCGTTGATTGGTGCTGCCTTCAAAGTCCCATATATAGGGGATATTAGGTATGTGCCAATGTATGAAGCGGCGGTATATTTATTTAATTCTCTTCCTCGGTTGATAGATATTCCATTTCCCGAACAATACACAGAACAGTACAGAGAACAGTACACAGAAGAGTACACAGAACAATACACAGAACAATACACAGAACAGTACACAGAACAATACACAGAACAGTACACAGAACAATACAACACAGAACAATAAACACAGAACAAGAACAATACACAGAAGGTACACAGAACAATACACAGAACAATACACAGAACAATACACAGAACAATACACAGAACAGTACACAGAACAATACACAGAAGGGTACACAGAACAATACACAGAACAGTACACAGAACAATACACAGACAGAAGGGTACACAGAACAATACACAGAAGACACAGAACAATACACAGAACAATACACAGAACAATACACAGAACAATACACAGAACAGTACACAGAACAATACACAGAACAATACACAGAACAGTACACAGAACAATACACAGAACAGTACACAGAACAGTACACAGAACAATACACAAGAACAGTAAAACAATACACAGAACAGTACACAGAACAATACACAGAACAGTACACAGAACAATACACAGAACAGTACACAGAACAAAACACAGAACAGTACACAGAACAATACACAGAACAATACACAGAACAATAACAGAACAATACACAGAACAAATACACAGAACAGTACACAGAAGAGTACACAGAACAATACACAGAACAGTACACAGAACAATACACAGAACAATACACAGAACAGTACACAGAAGGGTACACAGAAGGGTACACAGAACAGTACACAGAACAGTACACAGAACAGTACACAGAACAGTACACAGAACAGTACACAGAACAATACACAGAACAGTACACAGAACAATACACAGAACAATACACAGAACAATACACAGAACAGTACACAGAACAATACACAGAACAATACACAGAACAATACACAGAACAATACACAGAACAGTACACAGAACAATACACAGAACAGTACACAGAACAATACACAGAACAGTACACAGAACAATACACAGAACAGTACACAGAACAATACACAGAACAGTACACAGAACAATACACAGAACAGTACACAGAACAATACACAGAACAATACACAGAAAAGTACACAGAACAATACACAGAACAATACACAGAACAATACACAGAACAATACACAGAACAATACACAGAACAGTACACAGAACAATACACAGAAGAGTACACAGAACAATACACAGAACAGTACACAGAACAATACACAGAACAATACACAGAACAATACACAGAACAGTACACAGAACAGTACACAGAACAATACACAGAACAGTACACAGAACAATACACAGAACAATACACAGAAACAATACACAGAACAAGTACACAGAAACAGTACACAGAAGAACAATACACAGAACAGTACACAGAACAATACACAGAACAGTACACAGAACAATACACAGAACAATATACACAGAACAGTACACAGAACAATACACAGAACAGTACACAGAACAATACACAGAACAGTACACAGAACAGTACACAGAACAATACACCGAGCAAAGGGAAGGAGACGAGTACGGACAGACGTGGGGCTCTGTAGGCACCAAGGAGTAAAGCATTGGCCAGCTGTAAGGAAACCCAGACAGACCATCATGTTACAAATCACCATATTAACTAAAGGGAGCCTGCAAACTCTTCGAGGACATGTCAGAATTTCCAAATAAACAGTCAGATCATGGTGACGTGTTCTCTACATTGGTGGGGGGGGGGGGGCTGTGATTTATTATATTACAGCCTCCAAGGACAACACAATTATGAGGGAAAGGTTAAGGCTCCATTCACACCGATGCGTTTTTTAGTGTGTTTTGCAGAAACGCATTACAGTTCCATTACCATGGTTTCCTATGGGACACGTTCACCTCGATGCTTTTTTAGCTGCTGCATTTTTGGAAAGGGTCGGGGACTTTTTTAAAAGCGTTTTTGCTATAATAGAGTTCAATGGAGAATCTGCTGAAATGTATGGTAGTGTGTTTTTGCTGCGATTTTGCCACGTTTTGCATTTTTACTCTGCCCGGCAAAAAAAAAAAAAATTCAACTTAAAAAAAAAAAAAAAAAGCTGTACAAAAACGTGGAACACAGAAAAAATCGCAAAAACGAGTGTAGAAAAATGCAAAAGTAACTGCGAAAAGCGCTGCAAAGGGAAAAAACGCAAACTGCACAGGTGTGTGAACGAAGCCGTAATCAAAGCTTAGTGTGTGGAGGAGGCCGGTGGCCGGGCAACATTTGCCATGATGTGCAGATATATAGCAGACGTGCACATTGATTCGCACTTCAGTGATGCGGTCCAAGCTCGCCGCCTCCCTCTCCGCCATCTTCCTTTGGGTTTTGCCATTGGATGGCCACTGATGATGTAACTGCTCTGCAGGTGGGCTGGAGCATTTTTATCACGGCAAATGGCTCAAATCTCAGCATGTCACTAAGGAGACAGGAGGAATCGGGAGCAGGAGAATGGGGCGTGCGGAACTAAGGAGACAGGAGGAATCGGGAGCAGGGGAATGGGGCGTGCGCACTAAGGAGACAGGAGGAATCGGGAGCAGGGAGAATGGGGCGTTGCGGGACTAAGGAGACAGGAAGGAATCAGGAGCAGGGGAATGGGGCGCGTGCGCACTAAGGAGACGGGAGGAATTGGGAACAGGGGAATGGGGTGTGTGCAATAAGGAGACGGGAGGAATTGGGAACAGGGGAATGGGGTGTGCGGACTAAGGAGACAGGAGGAATCGGGAGCAGGGGAATGGGGTGTGTGCAATAAGGAGACGGGAGGAATTGGGAACAGGGGAATGGGGTGAGTGCAATAAGGAGATGGGAGGAATCGGGAGCAGGAGAATGGGTGCGAGTGCAATAAGGAGATGGGAGGAATCGGGAGCAGGAGAATGGGACATGCACACTAAGAAACAGGAGGAATCGAGAGAGGAGGAATGGGGCGAGTGCACTAAGGAGACAGGAGGAATGGGATTGTGTGCACTAAAGAGACAGGAGGAATTGGGAGCAGGAGAATGGGGCGTGCGGAACTAAGGAGGACAGGAGGAATCGGGAACAGGGGAATTATCCTTGGGTGTGTGCAATAAGGAGACGGGAGGAATTGGGAACAGGGGAATGGGGTGTGTGCAATAAGGAGACGGGAGGAATTGGGAACAGGGGAATGGGGTGTGCGAACTAAGGAGACAGGAGGAATCGGGAGCAGGGGAATGGGGCGTGCGGACTAAGGAGACAGGAGGAATCGGGAGCAGGGGAATGGGGTGTGTGCAATAAGGAGACGGGAGGAATTGGGAACAGGGGAATGGGGGTGTGCAATAAGGGAGACGGGAGGAATTGGGAACAGGGGAATGGGGTGTGTGCAATAAGGAGACGGGAGGAATTGGGAACAGGGGAATGGGGTGTGCGGACTAAGGAGACAGGAGGAATCGGGAGCTGGGGAATGGGATGTGCGCACTGAGGAGATGGGGGCGGAATCGGCAGCAGGAGAATGGGGTGAGTGCAATAAGGAGATGGGAGGAATCGGGAGCAGGAGAATGGGACATGCACACTAAGAAGACAGGAGGAATCGAGAGCGGAGGAATGGGGCGAGTGCACTAAGGAGACAGGAGGAATTGGGAGCAGGGAGGAATGGGGCGAGTGCACTAAGGAGACAGGAGGAGTCGGGATCAGGGGAATGGGGCGAGTGCACTAAGGAGATGGGAGGAATCGGGGGTCGGAGGAATGGGGCAAATCTACTAAGGAGACGGGGAGGAATCGGGAGCAGAGGAATGGGATGAGTGCACTAAGGAGGGAGGAATCGGGAGCAGGGGGAATAGGGTGAATGTACTTAGAAGACAGGAGGAATCAGGAGCAGGGGAATGGGGCGAGCGCACTAAGGAGACAGGAGGAATCGGGAGTAGGGGAATGGGGTGAGTGCACTAAGGAGATGGGAGGAATCGGGAGCGGAGGAATGGGGCAAATGTACTAAGGAGATGGGAGGAATTGGGAGCAGGGGAATGGGGTGTGTGCAGGGACGGACTGACCATTTGGAAACTCGGGCACTGCCTGAGGGCCCGGGGTCAGTAGTGGGCCCCATGAGATGCCCCTGGTACCTTTTTCATAGGCTTTTTTGAGTTTGGGCAAGAACACAGGGGCCCCATGATTCCCTATTGCCTGGGGGCCCCATGAGTTGTCAGTCTGCCCCTGGGTGTGTGTACTAAGGAGACAGGAGGAATGGGGCGGTGCAGGGGAGGAATGGGGAGTGGAGGAATGGGGCGAGTGCACTAAGGAGACAGGAGGAATCGGGAGAGCAGGGGAATGGGGTGTGTGCACTAAGGAGATGGGAGGAATCGGGAGCGGAGGAATGGAGCGAGTGCACTAAGGAGATGGGAGGAATCGGGAATGGGGTGGAATGGGAGCGAGTGCACTAAGGAGATGGGAGGAATCGGGAGCGGAGGAATGGGGCGAGTGCACTAAGGAGATGGGAGGAATCGGGAGCGGAGGAATGGGGTGTGTGCACTAAGGAGATGGGAGGAATCGGGAGCGGAGGAATGGGGCGAGTGCACTAAGGAGGCACTTTTGGATACATTTTGTGGGAAGCCCAATATATGGTTCTTCACCCTTGTTCATGGTGGGTGGTGGTCCAGTGGTGGCCTTGGCCTGCACTACATTTCCTCATCCTACAGTCTCAGTGGTAGGAACCCCATAAAGAGAGGTACTTACAGCCACAGCATAGCGGGTTATGTTTTCTCTTTCGCTCGTCTCTATCACCCGCTGTAGATCGGGGCTGTCATGAGATTCTCCATCAGTAATAACAATCATCACTTTTTTGGCTCCCTTCCTTCCACCGCGCTGGAACGCCTCCGTGCTATAGAGAGAAGACAGCCATTAGACTTATATAATCATTTCTATGGAATATATCGGTTTGTAATATTTCACAGCACTAACTAGTTTTTCTTTTCATCAGTCTTTATATACAATCATAGCAACATGGACAACATACACTTTTTTGGACACAGAATAATATATACATGCTTTTCTTACCATGCTTTCTCAATGCCCAGTGCAGTTCGAGTCTCTGTCCCTCCCCTCTGCTCAATGCGTTTTGCAGCCTCCACCACCTCATTCACTGAGCGGAAGTCATTCAAATGAAACTCGTGGATCACCTCTTCCCCGTACTGCAATACCCCCACCTGCCAAGAGGGGTACGGATTACTAAAGTGGAACTCCGAACATCTAGATACATTTTTAAATACACATGCTGTGTTATCTGCCAAATTATTATTATTATATTTATATAGCGCCAGAAGGTTTGCTCAGCGCTGTACACTATAGTGGGGGACAGTACATGAGACAATACAGTAACAATACAATACACGAGGGGTTCGAGGACCCTGCTCCTTGGAGCTTACAATCTAGGAGGGAGGGGATAGTGGTACAGGAGGAAGTGGCTGTGGGGGATGGAGTGGTAGGAGGAGATTGGCTGTTAGGTGAGGGTGGGGTAGGCTTCCCTGAAGAGATGGGTTTTCAGGGTGCGCCTAAAGGTGAGGAGGGTAGGTGACAGTCTGATGGATTGGGGTAGGGAGTTCCAGAGGATGGGGGAAGTCCTGGAGAAGTCCTGCAGTCGGGTGTGGGAGGTGAAGACCAGGGAGCTAGAAAGTAGGAGGTCTTGTGAGGAGCGAAGATTACGGGTTGGGTGGTATTTGGGTATCAGGTCGGTGAGGTAGTTTGGGGCAGCGTTATGAATTTTGCCCAGGCATTCTGGTAACACACCTTTGCTAGTCTGTAGGATCATTTTGCTACTTTCTGGTTTACTTTTATGGCTTCCGGGTTAAGCTCCTTTCTAACTAGACTTGTTCAGTGCCAGAAGTAAACACAACACCATCTCTTCATACCTCTGGCACTAGGGGTAACTTTCCAGAGGACTGATTTGTCCTTTGCATTGGGTTTCTAGTGGCCATTTTGGGGGAGTCTGCATCTGATTGAACACAGAGATCTGGGCAGCCATTTTGGATTTAGAGAGACTATTTAAAGCCCCTTCTGGGTCGTTTTGACTTGCCCACAGCGTGGGAAATGTATAGACATGGGCAAAAACCTGCTTGTTGGGTAAAGGTAGTGTCACGTACCTGGTTGGGGAGTCTGATGTGGAGAGAAGGCGTCTTCTTACAACTCCCGCTCGGAGCCCCTGATAGTGGGAGCAGAGGGCACAGAGCCAGGAGTGGAGCTGGCAGCAGGTAGCTGAAGACCCAGGAGATCCGGATGCAGGCCAGGTGCGGATGCAGGAGCATAGATGCAGCAGCAGGCAGGTATGGCGGCAATCAGGATGCAGACTGGGACTGGACACCGGAGCGTGGATGCGGTAGCAGGCAGGTATGGCGGTGACCAGGGTGCAGGCCAGGTGCAGGACTGTGGGTGCAGCGGCAGGTAAGTATGGCAACCGTCAGGATGCAAGCCAGGTGCAGGTAAGTATGGCAACCGTCAGTATGCAAGCCAGGTGTAGGTAAGTATGGCAACCGTCAGGATGCAAGCCAGGTGCAGGTAAGTATGGCAAACGTCAGGATGCAAGCCAGGTGCAGGTAAGTATGGCAACCGTCAGGATGCAAGTCAGGTGCAGGTAAGTATGGCAACTGTCAGGATGCAAGCCAGGTGCAGGTAAGTATGGCAACCGTCAGGCTGCAAGCCAGGTGCAGGTAAGTATGGCAACTGTCAGGATGCAAGCCAGGTGCAGGTAAGTATGGCAACCGTCAGGCTGCAAGCCAGGTGCAGGTAAGTATGGCAACCGTCAGGATGCAAGCCAGGTGCAGGTAAGTATGGCAACCGTCAGGATACAAGCCAGGTGCAGGTAAGTATGGCAACCGTCAGTATGCAAGCCAGGTGCAGGTAAGTATGGCAACTGTCAGGATACAAGCCAGGTGCCGGTAAGTATGGCAACCATCAGGATGCAAGCCAGGTGCAGGTAAGTATGGCAACCGTCAGGATGCAAGCCAGGTGCAGGTAAGTATGGCAACCGTCAGGATACAAGCCAGGTGCAGGTAAGTATGGCAACCGTCAGTATGCAAGCCAGGTGCAGGTAAGTATGGCAACTGTCAGGATGCAAGCCAGGTGCAGGTAAGTATGGCAACCGTCAGGATGCAAGCCAGGTGTAGGTAAGTATGGCAACCGTCAGGATGCAAGCCAGGTGCAGGTAAGTATGGCAACTGTCAGGATGCAAGCCAGGTGCAGGTAAGTATGGCAACTGTCAGGATGCAAGCCAGGTGTAGGTAAGTATGGCAACCGTCAGGATGCAAGCCAGGTGCAGGTAAGTATGGCAACCATCAGGATGCAAGCCAGGTGCAGGTAAGTAGATGCAGCAGAGTCAGACAAGCCGGGTCAGTATTAAGCGGGCAGATCAAGTACAAGGGAGCAGGTAAGCGGATGGTCAGGGATAGCCGAGGTCAGTGCAGGCGGAGTTCTTTCTTAGTCAGGCAAATCAGAATACAGGCAACAGGATCAGGTAATAAGTGCAGGAACGTTGTAGACCAGAAGGCATTGATTGTACTGTATTTCAGGTTTAAATAGCCCACCTAGCAGTGACGCGGACTCTACTGTGCATGCGTGCACTTCCGCGCTCCTGCGCATGCGCGCCTGCACGCTCCCGTCCATGCACACTCATACTGCCGTGACCCGAAGGGACCTGTCGTCGTCGCACGGCTGCACGGTGATAGGGTCCCTGACAGGTAGGCTTAGCCTAGGGTCCAGTTCCAGAGAAAGAGGAAGAAAATTATGGGCTTTCCTGCACACCCCTTGGAGATTATTTGGCATTGAAGAAGGACCATTGTTTTCCAGCCTTCTATCTGTGGCACAGTGAGCACACCGTTTTGCTGGCAAAGCACCCCTTCGGCCAGGCCACAGGTAGATGCTTCCAGCCAGTCAAAGGGTTTCAGGACCAGGCTATCCTCCATGCAGAAACAGACAAAATCCCCGGTCTCCTCCATTGGTCATAATCATTGGGAAGAAGGCTAGCCCATAGTCTCCTCCAATAGCCCCTGTCCTGTTTGGGTCTGCCATACGGTCCATAGCGCAATGTGGGGAAGGAAAGGCTTTGTTGTAACTACTGACATCTTGTAACATAAACAAAACATATACAGTTGTGTTCAAAATAATAGCAGTGTGTTGGAAAAAGTGAATAAAGCTGAAAATCCTTCTAATAGCTTTTATTTCCATCCACACAAATGCATTGGGAACACGACACATTCTATTCCAAATCAAAACCTGAAGAAAAATACATCAAATTTGTGTTGTTCCTCTAAAAAAATGGAAGAAAAGTGAATATTAGACAGTTCAAAAAAATCGCTGTGTTTGTATTCTTCTTTACAAACTCAAACATTCACTATATAAACTGAGAAATGTTTGAAGATTTTGCTTTCCTTTGAATGACTTCATGAATATTTGGTTGTAGTCGCACTGTTTCTGAGAACTGCTGTACATCTGTGTTGCATGGAGTCCCCCAACTTCTGGCCCCTGTGATCAGGTATTCCAGTCCAGGATGATTGGACCACATTCCACAGTTCTTCTCTATTTCTTGGTTTTGCCTCAGAAACTGCATTTTTGATGTCACCCCACAAGTTTTCTATTGGATGAAGATCCGGGGATTGGGCTGGCCACTCCATAACGTCCATCTTGTTGGTCTGGAACCAAGATGTTGCACGTTTACTGGTGTGTTTGGGGTCGTTGTCTTGTTGGAACACCCATTTCAAGGGCATTTCCTCTTCAGCATAAGGCAGCATGACCTCTTCAAGTATTCTGATGTATTCAAACTGATCCATGATCCCTGGTATGCGATAAATAGGCCCAACACCGTAGTATGAGAAACATCCCCATATCATGATGCCTGCACCACCATGCTTCACTGTCTTCACAGTGTACTGTGGCTTAAATTCAGTGTTTGGGGGTCGTCTGACAAACTGTCTCCGCCCGCTAGACCCAAAAAGAACAATCTTACCTTCATCAGTCCACAAAATGTTGTGCCATTTCTCTTTAGGCCAGTCAATGTGCTCTTTGGCAAATTGTAACCTCTTCAGCACACGTCTTTTTCCCAACAGTGGGACTTTGCGGGGACTTCTTGCAGATAGCTTGGCTTCACATCGGCGTCTTCTAATTGTAACAGTCCTCACAGGGAACGTCACACCTTCTTTCATCTTCCTGGAGCTGATTGTTGGCTGAGTCCTCACAGGGAACGTCACACCTTCTTTCATCTTCCTGGAGCTGATTGTTGGCTGAGTCCGCACCATTTTGGCTATTCTTCTATCCATTCCAATGGTAGTTTTTCGCTTTCTTCCACATCTTTCAGGTTTTGGTTGCCATTTTAAAGCATTTGCGATCATTTTAGCTGAGCAGCCGATCATTTTCTGCACTTCTTTATATGTTTTCCCCTCTACAATCAACTTTTTAATCAAGGTACGCTGTTCTTCTGAACAATGTCTGGAACGACCCATTTTCCTCAGAATTTCAGAGAGAAATGCACTGTAACCAGCATGTACAACATGTGCTGCCTTCCTTCCTTAATAAGGGCAATAATTGCCACCTGTTTTTCAAAGGATGAATGACCTCACTAATAGAACTCCACATGGCTATTATTTTGAACACGCCCCTTTCAATGAGTGATTCAATGACACAGAATCAGCAGCATGCATGTCATGACTGTCGGGTCTGTTGGATTTCTATTACTCTACTACACCTGCTAGGAAATTATTTACCATGTAGAAATATCATTTCTACCAAAAACAGTGATTGATCCGGTTAGTGATGTCTGACTGCTTTTATTTTGAACACAACTGTACGTATTTCAGCTGTTTGCCTGAAATTTCTATTTACATCCAACACGGCTTTGTAACACAAAAACATCTTACCTGAATCTGACCCGGAGCAATGTAGAATTTTTGAAGAATACTGATGAGAAAACCCTGAACCTCTGTCCATGGGTAAATGCTGTTTGATCCGTCCAAAACAATAACAATATCCATGAAAGTTGGACACCCTGAGGAGAAGAATCACGTTCAGATTTATTGTAGTTACTCGCCATTCCAGGACCAAATTTTAAAAAAAGTTTAGAAATTGACCTTAAAGCCAACTGAAATGTAATCATTGTGTGGAAACACATTATATTGTAAAACATCCATCCGTTTTTTTCATGTTTATTGGTTTTAGGACAATTAGGATGAAGCACACAATTGTTGTATGGCAGTGGTTCTCAACCTTCCTAATGCCGTGACCCTTTCATACATTTCCTCATGTTGTGGTGACCCCCAACCATAAAATTATTTACCCAATAATTATAATTCATGAGTGTCGTTTTACCTCCAATACTGCTGCTTTCAACACAGTAGCTGCTTTCAACACAGTAGCTGCTTTTAACAGAGTAGCTGCTTTCAACACAGCAGCTGCTTTCTACACAGTAGCTGCTCTTTACACATCGGAAATATGTGTTTTCTGATGGTCTTAGGGGACCCCTGTGAAAGGGTCGTTCGACCCCCAAAGGGGTCGTGACCCACAGGTTGAGAACCACTGTTGTATGGTATACAACCCGTGTGAAATGTGTTGTGTGGCCTCAGCAGCTCTTCTCCGTTGACACATTTCACCTCGCCAACCGGGGCTTAGTTATAGAGGTCATTAGTCACCTCCGTGACTAAGCCCCGGTGGGTGGGCAAAATGCACCAGAGGGCATGGTCCGGGGAATAGAGGTGGTTCAGGCCACATAACACGCTTCACATGGATCGAGTCGGGAGAGCGGCGTCTCGGACACCAGAAACAATCGAAAGTTTAAAAGTTAAATTCAAGATGACTTTCTTTAAAATTATAGAGTTGATTGAATAAAGGCAAATCGAACTTTCACTTTGCAAGGGAAGTTGCACTTTGCAAAGGGATTTGCCAATGAGCTTAGTGAAGGAGGGAAGGTTCTGCTGACTTCCGTCATCCAATCACATGCAAGCGCTCCTTGCTCATGATCGGGTATTATTTGCAAACCTTTGCCACATTCGCTAAGCTCTGGGACTAATTCCTTTACAAGGTGCAACATTCCTTGCAAAGCGAGCAGCCTAATTGACTTTATTATTATTATTATACAGTATTTATAAAGCGCCAATAGTTTGCTCAGCGCTGTACATTACAAAGGGGGACAGAACATGTGACAGAACAATACCAATACAATGCAAAACATGAGGGGATGGAGGGCCCTGCTCCTTGGAGCTTACAATCTAGGAGGGAGGGGATGGTGGTACAGGAGGAGATAGCTGTGGGGGATGGAGTGGTAGGAAGAGTGGAGGAGGTCGGCAAGTTAGCAGGGGGTGGGGTAGGCTTCCCTGAAGAGATAGGTTTTCAGGGTGCACCTAAAGGAGAGGAGAGTAGGTGATAATCCGATGGGTTGGGGCAGGGAGTTCCAGAGGATGGGTGACACCCTGGAGAAGTCCTGGAGGCGGGCATGGGAGGAGTAGACCAGGGAACTACTTACTTCAGAACAGTGTGAAGCAGTATTCTGAAGATTATGCTTATGGGTTTTGACTTCTAAACATTGAGAGGCACATGCTCAAGGGTTCTAATGCTTAAGTGGATTCCAAAATATTTTGTTTAGAGCAGCTACAATGAAAAACATGGAATGCTTTCCTCCTCTTTTCGTTGCTTATGGATTACAAACCAAGATCTGGATCTCTGGATGCATTTAATATTAACCAGAAGCGCTAAGAATCCACAATCTGCGGAGAATACACCAACTCCAAGAGAATTGTACAGAATTAGTAGAGCTGAATGAATATAACTGCTTTATGTTAAAGATAATTATATTTTTTTTGTTATGTTCCAAGTTTAGTTATGACATGGAGAATGAAGCTCAGCTTAAGCTGTCCTGTGCAGATCTTGATTGATGGGATATCTATTGATTTTTAGTAAAACAACCCCAGTGTCTCAGTATGTGTAGTAAGAAACATACACCATTGTTTCCATTTAATTCAAGCTATATACTGAATTGCATGTACACGGTTGCCTTACTTTGCAGCGCAGGGGCCACGATTCTGGAGAATCGGAAGTTGGCGTTGACTCTGGAGCACATCCCAGTTGTGTAATAGGAGCTTCCACACTCATGAGACCACAATGGACTGCAGGCCTAAAACATGCCAACACTGTTACCAAACATGTAAAAACACCGTATAATTGGGTAAATATTGATTAATAAAAGCAGGCAAGTTAACATGGCAGAAAGAAGCCCAGGCATGAGGCGCTTAAGGTTGAGCCAAGACAAGACAAAATTTGCAGAAACAGCCTTGAATATGGGTCACACGTCATGCTGCAAAGATGATCGGGGGGCTGAGGGACAGCATCTGCTGCAATTATCGACAGCAAATGCTGTAAGCATAGAAAGGTTCAGGCAGGGCATATAGGAGAATGAGGCCATATAGAGCGGGCTCAGGATACAGGATATTCTTACCACAAAGCTATTATCTTTAGGATTTGTGACTAAGCTCATTCCCAAGCGCATGTTATCCTTTCGTTCCGACACGTTGGACAGCGTCACCCTGCCTGAGAGACCTCCAGTTACCAGAGTAACAGACCTCTGAGACCTCCTTAGAGACCTGAGAAAACCTCTGAGTTACCACAGAGACCTTAGACAACTATACTGCCACATAGACCTAAGCATTCATACATGTAGGGCGCGCCATTCACATCTAGGCAAGCATAGCAGTTCTACTAGCATCATTAATTATGGGTAGCCCAAGGAACCAAATGGTCTCTGTCCATGTGGCCAATGTTGGAAATGTACGACCTGTAGAGCAGGTCTAACGTTTGTAGGACAGGTTGTTGGATACAAAGTCAATTCTAATGAGTGGCATTGGGAACTTTATCCATTTAGGCATCATGGAAGAATGAGAAATAGCAATTACATCCATAGAGAGATCGGCAAACTGAGGATTTGCTCCAATGGCCTCAGTTATGGGAATCTGAGATGTCTAAATTTTATCTTAGGGTAACAACCAGGGGCGGACTGACCATTTGGAAACTCGGGCACTGCCCGAGGGCCCGGGGTCAGTAGGGGGCCCCATGAGATGCCCCTGGTACCTTTTTCATAGGCTTTTTTGAGTTTGGGCAAGGACACAGGGGCCCCATGATCCCCTATTGCCTGGGGGGCCCATGAGTTGTCAGTCTGCCCCTGGTACAGGGGCGGACTGACCATTTGGAAACTCGGGCACTGCTCGAGGGCCCGGGGTCAGTAGGGGGCCCCATGAGATGCCCCTGGTACCTTTTTCATAGGCTTTTTTGAGTTTGGGCAAGGACACAGGGGCCCCATGATCCCCTATTGCCTGGGGGCTCCATGAGTTGTCAGTCTGCCCCTGGTACAGGGGCGGACTGACCATTTGGAAACTCGGGCACTGCTCGAGGGCCCGGGGTCAGTAGGGGGCCCCATGAGATGCCCCTGGTACCTTTTTCATAGGCTTTTTTGAGTTTGGGCAAGGACACAGGGGCCCCATGATCCCCTATTGCCTGGGGGCTCCATGAGTTGTCAGTCTGCCCCTGCTACAGGGGCGGACTGACCATTTTGAAACTTGGGCACTGCCCGAGGGCCCGGGGTCAGTAGGGGGCCCCATGAGATGCCCCTGGTACCTTTTTCATAGGGTTTTTTGAGTTTGGGCAAGGACACAGGGGCCCCATGATCTCCAAATTGCCTGGGGGCCCCATGAGTTGTCAGTCCGCCCCTGGTAACAACAAAGACTTTATTACAAAGAAGAATAGAAAGAACATTTTTGAAGCCTATTGGATGCCATTCTCAAAATCTAATTTATCATTTAACCGCTTAAGGACCGCCCTATAGCAGACATACTGCTACAGGGTGGCACCTGTGACCGGAATCACTTATATATATGTAATTTTGCATTTCCAGGTAGGGGGCGCGCGCAAGCCTCACGCACGCCCTACCCACGCCGCCATTCGCAGCTGCGGATGTCAATCACCGGGTCCCGGCTGGTAATTACCCACCGGCACCCAGTGATTTCCGACAATCACCGATGGGGGAGGAAGATTGCTTAGTTTACGAACAATCTTCCTCCCTGTCAGCTCGGGCACACTGCACAGCACAGCCATCCCGATCACTCAGTTCTCCCCCAGTGTCAGAATGCCCTGAAGTCGCTGATCACCGCCATTGCTAGTATTAAAAAAAAATTTAATTCCCAGTATCTATACCGCCATTTGTAAATGCTATAACTTTCACGTAAACCAATTAATTTACATGTATTGGCCGGTGATTACCCGCCGGTGCCCGGTGACTACTGACAATCACCGACAGGGAGGAAAACTGTTTTATTTACAAACAATCTTCCTCCCTGTCAGCTCGAGCACACTGCACAGCACAGCCATCCCGATCAGTGTGCTTACAGTGAAGCACACCCCCCCGCCTCCTAGTAAAACACTCCCTGCACACAGTTAACCCTTTGATCGCCCCTCACATTAACCCCTTCCTGCCCAGTGCCATTAGTACAGTGTCAGTGCTTTATTTTAGCACTGACAGGGGCGGACTGACCATTCGAGCACTCGGGCACTGCCCGAGGGCCCGGGGTCAGTAGGGGGCCCCATGAGATGCCCCTGGTACCTTTCATTGGCTGTTTCATAGGCTTTTTTGGATGTGGGCGAGGACACAGGGGCCCCATGATCCCCTATTGCCCGGGGGCCCCATGAGTTGTCAGGCCGCCCCTGAGCACTGATCACTGTATTGGTGTCAAGGGGGTGTCAGTGACAAGTTAGTCCCCCCCCAGTGTCAGAATGTCCACCACAGTCCCGTAGTCCCCCTAAAAGTCACTGATCGCCGCCATTACTAGTAGAAAAAAAAAATCCCATTATCTATACCGCCATTTGTAAACGCTATAACTTTCACGTAAACCAATTAATTTACACGCATTGGGATTTTTTTTTAGCAAAGACATGGAGCAGAATACATTTTGGCCTAAATTTATGAGGAAATTAGATTTTTTACATTTTTTTACTTGACATGTTTAATAGCAAAAAGTCCAAAATTTTGTTATTTTCTCATAATTGTCAGATTTTTTTGCTTATAGCGCAAAAAATAAAATACACACAAGCGATCAAATACCACCGAAAGAAAGCTCAATTCATGGGGAAAAAATGACGTAAATTTAATTTGGGTGCGGCATTGAATGACCGCGCAATTGTCAGGTAAAATAACGTAGAGCCGTAACGCAAAAAATGGCCTGGTCAGGAAGGGGGGAGGGGACGCCTCAGGAGGGCGAGGGGTTAAAGCCACTGCAGTTTTTCTCAAAAGACATACTGACATTTTCACCTACAAAGCTAACAAGTCATTAGGCAATAGACGAAGTCAAAGAAAAATTCCAGGAATGGATATTTTTACATAGTTATATTCGTCCAGGTTGGACCAATGTATTTATGCATCTATCGAACCTGTGGGATCCCTGTAGAACAGGGGTCTCCAAACCTTCTAAACAAAGGGCCAGTTTACTGACTTTCAGACTTTAGGGGGGCCAGTGGGAGTAGAAATTGTCCTGTGCCATTGGGAGTAAACAATGCATATTTGGCATTAGGGGAGGAATAGCGCCCTATTCTTGGTGTAAGTTGGAGAAATAGTGCCCCATTGTTGGTGTCAGTGGGAAGAATAGTTCCCCGTTGTTGGTGTCAGTTGGCGGACTAGTGCCGCATTGTTGGTGTCAGTGGGAAGAATAGTGCCCCATTGTGGGTGTCAGTTGGCGGACTAGTGCCGCAATGTTGGTGTCAGTGGGAAGAATAGTGCCCCATTGTGGGTGTCAGTTGGCGGACTAGTGCCGCATTGTTGGTGTCAGTGGGAAGAATAATGCCCCATTGTTGGTGTCAGTTGGCGGACTAGTGCCGCAATGTTGGTGTCAGTGGGAAGAATAGTGCCCCGTTGTTGGTGTCATTTGACGGACTAGTGCCGCATTGTTGGTGTCAGTGGGAAGAATAGTGCCCCGTTGTTGGTGTCAGTCGACAGAATAGTGCCCCATTGATGGTGTCATTGGGAAGAATAGTGCCCCGTTGTTGGTGTCAGTCGACGGAATAGTGCCCCATTGTTGGTGTCAGTAGGAAGAATAGTGCCCCGCCTGACTTGGTGTCAGGCGGCGGAATAGTGCCGCATAGTTGGTGTTAATGAGAGGAATAGTGCCCCATCCTTGGTGTTAATGAGAGGAATAATGACTGTTGTTGATGTCAGTAGCAGGAATTATGCCCCCTTGTTGGTGTCAGTGGGAGGAATAGTGTCCCATTGTTGGTGTCAGGGGGAGGAATAGTGCCCCATCATTGGTGTCAATGGGAAGAATAGTGCCCATCGTTGGTGTCAATGGGAGAAGTAGGGACCCAGGAATGAGAGGAATGGTACCCCTGTTGTTGTGTCAGTGGGAGGAATAGTGCCCCATCTTGGTGTCAGTGGGAGGAATAGTGCCCCATCGTTGGTGTTAATGAGAGGAATAGTGCCCCATCGTTGGTGTTAATGAGAGGAATAATGACTGTTGTTGATGTCAGTAGCAGGAATTATGCCCCCTTGTTGGTGTCAGTGGGAGGAATAGTGCCCCATCATTGGTGTCAGTGGGAGGAATAGTGCCCCATCATTGGTGTCAATGGGAAGAATAGTGCCTCATCGTTGGTGTCAATGGGAGAAGTAGGGACCCATCGTTGGTGTCAATGAGAGGAATGGTACCCCTACATTGGTGTCAATGGGAGGAATAGTGCCCCATCTCTGGTGTCAGTGGGAGGAATAGTGCCCCATCGTTGGTGCCAATGGGAGGAATAGTGCCCCATCGTTGTTATCAGTGGGAGGAATAGTGTCCCATCATTGGTATCAGTGGGAGGAATAGTGCCCCATCGTTGGTGTCAATAGGAGGAATAGTGCCCCATCGTTGGTGCCAATGGGAGGAAGGGTGCCCCATCGTTGGTGTCAATGGGAGGAATAGTGCCCCATCGTTGGTGTCAATGGGATGAATGGTGACTGTTGTTGATGTCAGAATTATGCCCCCTTGTTGGTGTCAGTGGGAGGAATAGTGTCTTGTATTACTGGGAGAAAAAGTGCCCAAGGGCCAGATATGGTCAAGCAAAGGGCCGCATGCAGCCCCCGGGCCGTAGTTTGGAGACTGCTGTAGAAGCTGCAAAATAGTGTTGTAGACATCACTACTCCAGTGATCTCTGCTAGCTTCTGTGTCCCATGTCAAGCAACTTCCTTGATGCACTGCAAACTCTTGTTTGGCATGGGCACCATTCAAAGAATTATATATATGACAGTGTTATTAACAAATGTTCCAAAGAAAATATAATCATATAGATACCCAATTATTATAAAATGAATCCACTACCAATATAAAGTCCACTATGATTTTATGAAAATATGCAAAATGTCCCATCAATAACTCCAACGGTGTTCAAAATTAGTCCACCTCAAAAAAAGAAAAAACTCATATAGTGCATTAACCTTTATCAAATAAACTTTATCTATATTTCATCCAGTGAAAATAAGTAAAAGTTGTGAAAAACGTGAACCACACGTGATCAGTGAA